CCATACCGAGGGAGGCGTGGAGAAAGCACATAACAGATCAAGGTAATCTTAAGTACCAGGGACGGTTGGGTGTCCTGTCGTGACTAACTGGATGGAAGACGCTTACAAGAGATCACTTGATGTTTAAGAAAACTTAAGCGATCCCTTTCCGTTAAGAACAGATTTAGCAAATAAAAAGTAACGGTGAAAACATGGGGCCAGCAGGAGCGCATGTGGTTATTTCTGCAAAAATATACCTTTATACAAACAAACAATTGTCCCAATACTAGTAATCCAGATGAAATAATGTTCATTACATACCTTGCTGCTTTTCTGTCTCTAATGTCATGGCACGTGCAGGTAATATGCAAATAATTTGCAGGTAATATGCAAATGAGCTGCTTCAAGTGAAATGTATTCCTGGGGTGTTATATTTTCAGATATATTTGATGGATGTAGTAAACATGAGAAATTGTTATTAATACCATTAGATATATTCAAACATCAATATTGAATAAATTGTTTATTACGGGACTATTGTAATGTCCCTGATTAAAAGAAAAAATGATTAACCGCGTTTCGTTTTTAGCTCGACTTTTTTTTTTTTTTTTTTTTGAAAAAAAAAGTAGAGGTATTGTTATAGTCAGGTCGGCGTTCCCGTTGCCGTTGCCGTTGACGTTGCCATTGTCGTTGCCGTTGCCGTTGCCGTCCGCAAACTTGTACCTGGATCATAACTTTTATATTTCTGGGTGTATTGTCTTCATACTTGGCCACAACAACCCTTGGGACAAGACCTTTCAGTAGACCACATTAACCTTGACCTTCATCCATAAATGACCTTGACCTTCAAGGTAAAAAGTCCAATTTTTGCTTGTTCATGCTGTTATTGGCTGTAACTTTGTTATTTTTGAATGGATTGTCTTCAAACTTGAATATAATAATCTTTAAGGATATCCCTTAAAAATAACCAGCCAGACCTTGACCTTCACTCATAAATGACCTTGACTTTGAAGGTCAAATTATTGAAATTTTCATTTTTTTGGCTTTTATTGGCTGTAACTTTGTTATTTTTGAATGGATTGTCTTGAAACTTGAACATAATAATCTTCAAAGATTACTGTTAAAAATATACCGAAAGACCTTGACCTTCATTCATTAATGACATTGTCTTTGAAGGTCAAATTATTGAAATTTTCATTGTTTTGGCGGTAACTGACTGTAACTTTGCTATTATTGAAGGGATCAACTTCATATTATAAGAGAACATTCTTAAGGACCAGACCTTGTTGTTTATCAAACCCAAATTTGCTTGGGCTCTTTAATGACCTTGACCTTGAAGGTTAAATTACTGAATTTTCTCAGATTTGTGCATTAAATGATCATAATTATATATTTATTGGTGTGTGTGTGTGTGTGTGTGTTTATATATATATATATATACAACAACAACAACTAGAATTGCGTCATTGTTTCTATTTATAGAATTGCGTCATTGTTTCTATTTATAGAATTGGGTCATTGTTTCTATTTATAGAATTGCGTCATTCTTTCTATTTATAGAAATTGCATCATTCTTTCTATTTTTAGAAATTGCGTCATTGTTTCTATTTTTAGAAATTGCGTCATTGTTGCTATTTTTAGAAATTGCGTCATTGTTTCTATTTTTAGAAATTGCGTCATTTTTTCTATTTTTAAAAATTGCGTCATTTTTTCTATTTTTAGAAATTGCATCATTGTTGCTATTTTTAGAAATTGCGTCATTTTTTCTATTTTTAGAAATTGCGTCATTTTTTCTATTTTTAGAAATTGCGTCATTTTTGCTATTTTTAGAAATTGCGTCATTTTTTCTATTTTTAGAAATTGCATCATTTTTTCTATTTTTAGAAATTGCGTCATTGTTGCTTTTTTTAGAAATTGCGTCATTGTTTCTACTTTTAGAAATTACGTCATTGTTGCTATTTTTAGAAATTGCGTCATTTTTTCTATTTTTAGAAATTACGTCATTGTTGCTATTTTTAGAAATTGCGTCATTTTTTCTATTTTTAGAAATTGCGTCATTGTTTCTATTGATAGAAATTGCGTCATTCTTGCTATTTTTAGAAATTGCGTCATTTTTTTTCTATTTTTAGAAATTGCGTCATTTTTTTCTATTTTTAGAAATTGCGTCATTGTTGCTATTTTTAGAAATTGCGTCATTGTTTCTATTTATAGAAATTGCGTCATTGTAGCTATTTTTAGAAATTGCGTCATTTTTTCTATTTTTAGAAACTGCGTCATTGTTGCTATTTTTAGAAATTGCATCATTGTTGCTATTTTTAGAAATTTCGTCATTGTTGCTATTTTTAGAAATTGCTTCATGTTGCTATTTTAAGAAATTGCGTCATGTTGCTATTTTAAGAAATGGCGTAATGTTGCTATCTTTAGAAATTTGCTTAATGTTTCTATTCATATATATATACAAAATATATAAACAAAACTTATGTGACAAGACAGACCAACTAAATTTATAAAAAGGAAACATTAAGATATGTTCAAACCTTTCTATGTTTGCGTTTAGAAAAAGTAAAAAGTCGAGCGTTGCCCCCGCCCGGCGGTGGCTCTTGTTATATTTATAAGTGTGGCCAAATAGATATGTTAGTTATCTCAGTAGTTTAATGCTATGTGATAAATAAAATGTACAATGCGTCTAAATTTCATAATTATAGATTTACTGAACTCGCTGAATAGTACTGAATCAACCCCGCCAAAGACTTGTTTTATCTTGTTTCATGCAATTTAATAGTATAAAATACATAATGTAAAATATATTAAGACATATAACTTGAAGTGTTTCATGTTATTTTGAAAGTCAGAGAATATGTACTAAATGTTATATGAATGGTATAGATAATGAATTTCATTGCCGTTTTAGCATTAATTTTTTTTTTAAGACAGATACTGCTTAATAGTTATCAAGTATTGTTGACACTGGCCAAGTTAATACAAATGCAAATCCTATTTCGACAATTGTCAACGAAGTGGTGTAATCAATAAAGTATATTACTAACTTATTTATTGTGAAGATTTTTAATTTACATTTTTATAATATATTTACATTCTTATGTTTTATTGTGCAGATACAGTAGCTATTGTACATCGTGTTTTAATGTATATTTAGTTGAAAACTTACTTAGGGAGGCATGGCCGGTAACTTAAACTTTCCAGTACCTAACATCAAACCAAACCTGCAACATTTTCAATTTGTCGTTTCAGGCGTTCTTAAGGGATTCTGTTTTTTTTTGCTTTTTTAATAAGTAATACATAGGTATGTGCTTGGGGTGTTAAATTATACCGCATTGTATATATGTAATAGTGGCAATGAACACATATGCTTTGCATGATAAAACATTGAACTGCAATGACAGTAAACTCATTATGATTGATTGATTGATTGATTTATGGCGCTCAATCTATCGCATGATCAGCAAGTGAAACGAAAAAAGATATATTCCATACAATGTCACATTGAATTATATTTTAGGAGCATCTGTAGCCGAGTGGTTTAAGTCCTTGACTTCCAACCATTTGCCTTTCACGCAGGTTTGAATTCCATCTTGGACTAAAGATTATTAATTTTCATGAGCGGAAACAATCAAGCTTGCTTACGGGGCATCGATGGTTCTTCTTAGGTACCCGCTGGTGTCTGAAATAATGCACGTAGAGGCACCTAAGTTCTACCCTATGTTGTAAATTTGGGAGTGTCTAAATGACCATTCAGTGGTTGTGCGACTAATGCAAACAAAACTGCAATGCATTTCTCAATGAATAGATCTGGTATTTTTCACCGATTAAAAAATGATCCTGCACAATTGCCGGTTTTATATTTGGGTTTTAAATTATATCAAAGTGTGTTTGATTTAAGGAACACATTTTTTTCTTCACATCTGTTATTTAAAATAGTTCATTGTTTTCAAAGGATATCATTTTTGTAATGGGCACATTTTGTATACGATTATATAAGTGTAGATTAAGATAAGTTTTATCTATTTTTCTGAAGCAAATTCTTGCTCAGGGATTCACACGTATCAAATGTAAAGTATCGCTCGAATGGCAAAATGTACTAAGGGCATTTCAATATTATGGATGAGTAGCATTTCATCTAAAATATTGTTTAAAGAGATCACGGAAATTGGCAAATGTTTCAATTATGACAAGTCTGAACTATTGAATCGAATTTATATAACATCATGCAGGTCATTGAACGGCTATTAACCTATCTGAACGGTGGACATTTCTGACTGTGTCGCTCCTTCGTTTGTAATGTGTTAAAATTGTATAGAATCAATAAGATAAATGAGCATTGACCTTTAAGTGATGCGACTTTCTATTAAGCACTAACAGACAATCATTTCTAAAAGCAAGAAATAAAGTTTAAGAACATTATAGGCCATTGTTCTGCGACATTGAGCACAATTCGTTCACATTATGTTGTTATATATGTTTTTTTTCTTTCCTTTTATCATCTTAATTTAATACATATAAATGAAGTAAAAACAATCTATATAATAATAATAATTATTCCCAGCGTTAAATTATGGTGGCTGATTTGAACTATATTTTTTTGCTCCGTGCGGCCCCGGACGAAAACACGAAAATACAAAAAAGTGGTTTCTCTGTCATATTTAACTTGGCTTCCCGCGTAGCGAAAATACGACATGGCACAAATCAGCCACAATATAAGATAAGGTAAAGGTACTGACTTTTATAGTTACTGATAAACATTTTGTTCCGAAGGTGGAAAATGCAAATAAAACAGTCTACTGCTGAACTCATCCCACATGTTTCATTTTATTTCCTGAATATTTTTTAATAAAAATGACGATTCGACGTTTTACGGTATCCTTCTACTTTGAATAAAACTATCAAAGCAGCATACCTCCTGGTTCAAATGGTTCAGACAACCTATTGGACATACGCACTTTTATACAAAATGTGTACATTTGTACATAGATATTGGAATAAATAAAAACAAAATCTTTCCATCGATCTCTAAACTTGCTTTATTAAATTATTATGATGTTTAAAAGTGGAACAGATTCTTTATAGATATTTCAGCTCACCTGGACCCAAACAGAATAATACGAGAAAAAGAAGGTACAATTCTAGTCAATAAAATTATCTTAATTATCATTCAAACATGGTTTAAAAGTACTAAAATCTAAATATAGCGATAAACATCTTTGTCTAACAACTCAATATGCATTAAAATAAACCTTATCATTGCTTGTAATGGTGATTAAAATCAACTTCCGGTGATATATCAGAAGAATTTTCAAAATTGTATAATTTTAAAATTTTATTATGGTTTCTTTACAAAATATTGTCGCATCCCTCGGATGTTGTGACCACATTATGTATCAAATAAACATGCATTTTTTGATCGACTGACCACTATTCTTCAAAATATGTCCTTAATAACTTTGTAGATATAGTTATTATTGCTCTACATTTTTAATTGTTTGTACGAAAATTTGGATTTTTTTTTCAAAATTTATCAAAAGAATGTATTATATACGTTGATACTATATAGGTTACGTTTTCGTAAGGATAAAATTTTCGTAAGGATAAAATACACAGATTAAGAACTAACAACATTATGAATATACGAGTATTCCTGATGTTTGGTGATAGTAGCGTATTACAAATACTGTAATAGTGAAACGATTGTTTATGATGCTTTTCGTTTTATCTAATTATTGATCAGTCTGCTCAATTGAAAAAAATAAAATTTTCGTTAACAAGTGACCAACACTTTATCATAAAAATTTCTGGGATTAAAGATGGTTATTTCGAAAATGGTCTTTTTGGTGCATGTTATTTTTTAAATTGTTTTTTTTTCTTCTTCAAAATTTTCACATTTATCAATAATTTCAACGAAACAGAACATTAACTGTATACCATGCAATTTATCTTAAGTGGGACAAAGTCTTTTCTAAGACAAACTGCAATTGGGATGAACAAAAATGAATGATGACATATTAAAAATGCACGTGACGTATTCTAACAACAGTTATTATAATTCATTCATATGATGACGTCATGCATTTACTGCTCACAAGAGTATATCATATGACAAAGTATTCTGTAAAAAATAAAGAATATTTTCTTCTTAGGTATTACACCGGGGAAAGATTTAAAAACTTCGTCTCAAAGCAGATCAGCAAATTTTCAAAATATCTACTAGAGTTTAGCAAAATCTCCAAATTCTGAAAACTCCAACATCGAATTTTCGTTTAAAATCAAAACATTATTTAAAATTATGTTTTCATAAAAATATTATATAGAATTATTTTGATAAAGTGTTCATAGCAGAATACCTGTAACAGTTGGTTACATTTTGTTTTATATTATAATTAGAAAGACATTTTGTTTATTTTTGTTTTACCACTAAAGACTAAGTTTGTAATTTTTTTTGATGGAAAGTTTATAAAGATTCTCACCCTGAAAGGACTCGATTCTAGAAAACCTATAGAAAATTGAAGTTGAAATATTCATTTACAGGGCACATTTTCTCAGAGACAAAAAAAAACCACATAACATAAGCGAGTTATAGTCTTTTCACGCCAATTAAATATTATCTCTTTCAGTAAACGTTTAAATGGTCAAATGAAACACATCTAATATACAGAAAAAAAAACAATTATGATGCACATTCATGCATATCCCTAAGCACAATGACATTTACATCTCAATGTTTTATGAAATGTTAATTCGTTAAATAAATGAAAAATTTAAAAGAATTTATTAACAAAATAAAATAACCAACATTATTTGTAATGGCCATAACGGTCGATTATAAATTCATAACAAAATTAGATAACTTTTGATAGTACGACCTTTTTGAGATTTTAAGAATAACTTAAGAAAAACAATTAAAATGTATGTCAATTAACAAAATATATGAAATCACAGAGAGCTTTCAGTACGATGTGAAAAATATGGATAAACATCATGAATGGATGTCATGTAAAAGTTTATCTTTAGAAATTTGATGTTTTTTTTATATTTATTTTGCTGAAGGTCACATGGGCTGCGATAAAATTAGATCTGAATATAGAACCTTGAAATACAATTTTGGAATGTTTTTCTTGTGTTTATTTGATGTCTTGTACATATGTTGCAATTTCTTCACTAGTATTGCCATTATTTACGGCTATTTCAAGGCAAAAGTAGTCCAATTTCATGTTGAAATGGGACTGTATATATTTCCCTTGAAACCTAGGACTTTAACAAATGATTCATAGTTTTAAAGGTAACTATATTGTTATCGTTCAGTAATATAAGTTTAATTTACACATCGCAGGTTCCGTTTGTATGAATATATCAATACCGGGTCATTTCTTTAAAATTTTATTATGTACATTTCATATATAAGTATATATAAAACAGCTGCCTTCCAATTTACTGTCATTGTAATCAGTTGAGATTTCCATATTTTTTTGTGTCGGAAGTAATTCTGAACAGTTTGAATGCATTTGCTGAAAATCATTCTTTTTTTCGAGATGGTAAAAGAAATGACGTAGTAATGGGTAAAATAAGTTAAATAAAAATGACGATTTGCTTTGTTTTCATTTTGATTAGACGCTAAAGCAACGAATTATAAAGGGTGATTTCAAACGGCACGTTTTTGTGCCTATAAATAGAAGATTATATATAATGACGCATGCTCCGTGACAACAATTTACACGCATAAACCACTTAAACATCAAATATACAAACAACATTTATTCATAAATATGGCATTGTTCATGTTTGAAAGCAGATGTTTCAAAATTAAGCGATTTTAAACGTATTTGCTGTCGAAAATTACACTAATAGACTCTTTTATACAAAATATATACTATCTTCTGATGGTTTTTAATCCGGGTTCTTAAAACCGGAAGTCACGTGTTATTTGTATTAAACTTCTAGTCCTCCGTCCACAATCTGTGTCAGCAAGCTGGATGTATCGTACCATTCGCCTTTAGGCATTCCGAGTTTCAGCAATGCCCGCATGTCGTTTTGAAGAACGCCGATAAATGCATTTCTCAAATTTTTCTCCGATTGTGGTGTGAGTCCAACCATCATTGATAAATCGTCTAAGTTTGTTGAGACTGAAATTAGCGATGGCAAGATATTATAAATAACCCGTCTGTGAAATGTGCAAACTTTCAAAATAACAGATTACAACAAAAGTAAAGTCGACGATCCTGGTTGCTGTATAAATCCATTACGCATGATAACTTAAATTTGATCTAATATAAATAATGTTATCTAAGTATATGTAAAACAATTATAACTATCATTACAACGAAAACCTTTTTTCTTCTTCGAGTTTCACTGAATATCTATCTATCTTACTGCATTCAAAAGAAGTAGTATATTAAATTTTTTGGTACGCGCATGAATTAATTTTCAGCACAAAACATGGTTTGCACGTTCAAGGCAGCAAATTAGAAAAAGACAGTTCTAATATACTGTAAGATGCATTTTAGCAAAGCTTTGAATTACCTTATTCTATACGTTGTATTTCTTAAACGGTTAAATGGGAACTAATTTCAATACTTAACATCGGAAAACTGTGCAATGGTTTTGAAAATTCACCAATTTCAATGTTACAGTAGCAATACCACAATTGAGCTACCGGACATATAAAGCCTAAACAGACTGTACACTGATATGCACGTTAGTCTGGTTTTGTACTGGTGGCAAAGACCAATTACTTTTACTTCAAACAGGTTAAGAATGAATTAAGGTTTGACTCTTACCTGCAAGTGAATGGGCAACCAACTCCAAGTCTGCACCACTGAATAGCTTCTGTTTCATCCATTTACGGTTTCGCTCGAGAAATTTAAATATAGTTTCAACTGGAGGTCGTTTTCCTGCAACAAAACAGAATTTCGATAATTGTTCTATTACACGAAAATTAAATAAAGGCTTCGCGATAATGTCCGGCTTTCCTTATTTAATTTGTAATATATAGCCATTGCTACATAACTCGTACATTACACTTAAAATAAAAGGCGTACGCGTTATATAGATAACAGCCCTTTGCGTTTGTGTGAAAAATAAAAAAACGAACACAAAACTTTAAATCGTATAGGCTTCCCTGGACTCGGGCATATATTCCGCAAGTGCCCGTTATGCCAATTTAATAGTCTTGGTGACGAGATGCATTATTCACTAGATTTTCCTTTTTTCAGTAAAACAAAGTCAAAGCTTATTCCAAAAAAGATTTTATCAAAGGCCTAATATTGTCAATCTTAAAGCTAGTCTATTATGTTCGTTCGGATTTTCTTAAAAAAAATCTGGCGTTTTTTGTAAAACACTTTATTGAACATTTCAAAAGATAACAGGAAATTTCGTGTAAGTTAAATTTCTGTTTTCTTTCACAATGGCGTACAGACAGTCATGACTCTAGTTTTGTGCTTGGTTTTATCACCATAACATCATAATATGTATTAAAATAATGGTCATCATCAACAATATTAAAACATTTATTATACCGTGAATAGGGAGATGATTTCTATAAACAATATTGTATGTAAATTATCATCTTGAAGACCGATATAGTGTATTTTGGTGTATGATGTTTTATAGTATATTAAAATGATACAATCATTTTAACATCTGATATACTTTATGAAATGTATTCATTGGCAAATTGTGACATTTAATTTGCCGTACTCATGTGCGGTGAATTATCGCAGCCTCGTTAGCAGAAACACTTTATCAATTAGTGTAATAGTAATTTATACACAGAAATTAATTCCCATGTGCATGGATGGAAATTGATTAGTGAAGTTCAAATGTTCACACTGCCATCAATACATTTACCACTGTTACAATTTCCATTTAGTTTAATGAATCTATGGAACACTTTCTAACGTATATTCTGAATAAGACAAACTCTCAGATTTATGCAAAAAATTCAGGCGCAAATGTCAGCGATAATACAATACGTCTGGGTAAGTTTTGCTGTTTAGACATGCATGAATTGTTCGAACAGGCGCATAGTGCAATGTATTTTTATCGTGCAATATCAGTAATAATGACATTTTTGAAATGATCAACCTGTTACATGCGCCAAGATCAAAGGGTTTATAAACTTAAGTTTGAACCTAACCAAATGCATATGATATTGACATTTGACGAAACTATGTAAGGTTTATAAACTTATATTTAAACCTTATGCATAGGAAACTGACATTTCTCGAATCGATTTTTGCAGGTACTTATTTGTTCAAATCATTACTGAACACAAAGTCTGCATAAAGAGATATCTATCTCTGTCTTGTTCCATCAATAAAACACAAACAGTCGTAAGAACAAATTTATTTCACCGACGAATCGCAAAACCAACTAGAACGGCATCAATAAGAGGTATGTTAGTCACTTACTTGCATTGCAGAGTTCTTCATCTTCATCAAAATGGTCGGGACAATCGGGGTGACCGTCACAAACGGTGTCTAAAGCTATACATGCTTGTGACGACTGGCATAAGAATGGTTTCCATGCTGGACAAGGATTACCTGAAATAGAGGAACTTTAAATGAAGAATTCGTCTTTAACATGGCAATTTATTATAAGAAAATCCATACGTCCATTGCCAGATCTACCAAGACATAACCTGGCCTCTTTAAAGATGATTTTGACATGTATTTATTCTGCATCAGTAACGGTTAAGCCCTTTATCAACTATTTAAACGACAAATGTAAGGAAAACCTCTAAATCATGTTGTTACTTCTATGTTTGAGTATTAAGTTTTGATAACTTCCGTCAGTTTTTATACATATAATTGTTTTTTATGATTGAATAACATGATGGAAATAATGTCAGGAGTTTTAATATTTCAATGCGGAATGCTTGATAAAAACATGCTTAAAATATTCCCAGTTCATTTTTCAAACATCATCAATGGTGTTTAAAATTAGTGAATGATAGAGAAACGGCCTTACATTAAATGTAAAAAAAGTTATAATACACAATACAAAAAAAGAAAGGGAATCAAATAGAAAAAAGGATAAATTAATTGTAAGAACCGCTTATTTGTACTGTTTACGTGGACAAATTATTAACATGATAACCGCCGTATGAGCAAATCTTTTGTTACTAAATTAAAAAGTTCACAATTTTCGTGTTTATATGTTGAATTCTTCTTCAGCCGGTGAAAGGGGGCGTGGACGGTAACTTGTATTTTCCAGTACGGTCTAAAAACAGGCTCAATCAAACCAAACTTGCAACATAATTTATTTTATCGTCTTTAGGGATTCCGTTTTTCTTTACTTTAAGGAAGTGTAATTGCTTTAATTTAAAGCTTTTTGCAAAAAAAATATGCATCCGTGTTGCCAAACGTTTCTTTCACTAATAAGACTTGAAACAAATTTGGTCCAATGCTAAAGAATAAATCAAAGATTTCAACGCTTTGACTGAAAATATAAATTTTCCCAAAGAGATGGATCATTATAGTTAAAACAACCATTACGCCTGAGCAAATGTGTAATCCTCCATGATGAATATTATAGCTGAACCGCTAAGAAGATTAAAAATAGTGACATATCATCAATAGACGTGAAATTACAGATGTCTGGAATAGATAAAATGTCCAATAGTATCTGCTAAAGGTTAAGAGAAAACAATTGATGAAACTATATCTAATTTACGGTCTCAAAAACTTCAGATTTCGTCGTTTAAAATAGATTGGACGGCTATACATTGTTCGTGAAGTTTTACGCATCACAAACACATTAAAAATCATATGGTGACTTCCAGAAGGAGGAATACCTCGGATGCCCCTTATTGTACTATCTCAGGCACAAACGGGCACCCGAGTAGAACCACCGACTTTTTATAAGCTAGCTCGCTAGCTTCCCCACTTTTAAGATTCCAAAGACCATGTCGGGATTAGGACTCGTAGCGGTGAGGGACTAGCGGTTTGATGTCAACAACCTATAACATATAAGCTTACAATTCTTCTATACTAAGAAAAAGCGAAAAGTGGAACTAATGAAAATGTAAAGACTTGCAGTGGCCAATGGTCAATAAAGTCCCCCTAGCACCACCACTGCATCCAATTTTGTAAAATGAGTATTTAACAATAATTTATTATTCACAATGTGTTTACTATTTATTTCTTTTTTTATTGCATTATAATACATTATAATAATTGCAACTTTCAGTTATATCCGTATTTAACCAACTTACAAGAAGCAAAAATACTTAAATGGTTTTACTGCCTGTGAATGCTAATGTGGTTTAACTATCAGAATGAATTTGCATAAGTTTGTTAAATAATATCCATATTCGTATATTTTAATTTGTCTTATGTTTTTTTATATTTAATTATAGATATCTCTATCTTTTCTTTCTTTATTTATTTATTTCAACAACCAATAATTAATAACATGCATACGTTGATCTGAAATGGATACATTGTTTCCTTTTAAGAGATAAATAAAATATTAATGACAAATCATGTTTGTCTGAATAAAAGAAACGATTTTCTTCTTAAATTGACTGCAGTCTTCCCAAGAGCGTTTAAGTAAATATAAAGTTGCACTACAGCCTGAAACCTTTGCGTCTCAGATAATTAAATAATACTTTAGAGTAAACTTAATTGATTGAAGTTAATGCCAGCAAATTGATTATTTCTATTCATTAACCTGATCAGGTGCGCCTTGAATTGCATTTGTCATATCTTTGAAGGCAGCAGTCCATTAAGTATTCACATCGAGGTTACATTTATCTAATGATGTGAAATTTACTCTTTTCAAACAGCCCTCTTATCTTGCTCAAAATTGTACTCTAGCCTGCTCTATTACATAATAAGATCGTTAGGTTATTGTTTGCTGAATGCCGATAGCTATCGGAATGGAAACATAGAAAATACAATTACTGAACGGGTGAATTCGTTCAAATTAAACGGCGACAATTTGATATAACTTATTACTCCCCCGGAGAATTGAAGCTCGCTAAAATGTTCAAATACCTCGATAGAAGCATTGATAGCATCGATTATCGGTCGTGAACAATCAACGGTAATACTTAACATTTAATTTAGCGTTGTATTTCAGTCCATTTGAAACTTTTATTTACATGCTTTTCAATCAAATGTTTCCAACCATACAAAACATGAATGATTCATTTGATAGGTGTTAAAGAAAAAAAACTGATTTTATATGACACTGAGTCAAGATATTTTACGGCGGAGTTCACTTTTATACCATGTTTATTAATAAATGACAGATATTCAATATAAGAGATTGTTTTACGCTACATGTTCACACTTCAAAGTAAACAAAATACAACGAAAATGTTCACTTTGATGTGTTGAACTTTCTTTTTTTTAAAAAGTATATGTTTTTAATGCATAGCATTGCATCTTTTTTATTGTAAATATTTGATCCAATGACTTATGCAATGCGTTTATGTTTTGCAATCATGAGTAAGGTTGTACCATTTTGTAATAAACAATATGCTTTTTTCTAAGCAAAGTTATTCATACATTTTGATTACTGTAATATCATGTTTTATGTACGTTCGACGCTTACATTAGTGTTAATGTTAAGCTAAATTAAATTTAATTTGTACTCTTGAATATAGTTTTTATTATTATTTCTATCAGAAAATAGCACAAATCTAGATGCACGGTGTTTTAATCATAATAACATTTGCTGAAAATCAATCTAATTAATCGTAGAGGTTTTTGAATCTATCAAGTTATTATCAATATCAATAACTCTTTATTAATCGATTCACTGATAGAAAAATATCAATACATTATTCAATATGACTCAATTAGTGGGACAGTTTTAAATAAATTTCTTTTTAATATGAGGTATATTATTCAGAATCAAACAGAAATATCCGATATGGTTTGTCAATTAATTACATGGGAACGACTATTCAAATATTGAAAATTCAAGAAAACTAGGTTTATGAATCACTTTGTTTTAGTAATAGAATTTGACACACTGTGTGTTTTAATGCCATTCTTTTTTAATAGTGATTCCAAAAAGATCCTGCATGTTGTTATTGAAGTTGTTACCACACTTAAGTGAAATTTTATATATGTATATAATTATGCCTGTAAAACAATTGTCACACATCGAAGAATATGTAAAATATGCACTGCAAATATGTGTGCACATAATATGTAATCATTAGAATATATGCATATTTATGATATAAAACCATAAAAAAATTGTGTTACAGGAACTTTTAAAGTACAAACGTTGTTTGTTACAATGTCAATGACTGCAAAAAAAACAAGATTTATTTCTTATTTTTATATCCATGTCGGTATATATTTCATTATATATTCACGGCAATTCATCTAAAATAACAATAGATAACCACTCCCACACACCTATACATTATTTACTGCTCCAGATTCGCCTTCTAATTATAGATCTTATTTAGTAGCAATAGTACACACATATAAAACAATTGACAAATTCGAATGATATTTTCTTATCAATAGTAAAGTCCCTACATCATCCACGTCTCAGTTTAGCATTCTCAAGGTGGTCATAACCTTCTTTTATCGCCTTCAAGTTGGCATACCGTCTCTATCTTTTCGTGAGTGAACGGAATACCGAAGAAACACAAATGCATATTTTATTTGATGCCGTCACTGAATCGCCGTTAATTAGCCTTAGGGGATTCCTACTAAGAGCAACTAATGATGAAAATCTAGACTTGCTATATAATCAGTATTGACGTAATAATCCCGAAAACGCAACACGATATCTGACATGTGAGGGCGCAATAATGGAATGTATTGTAGATAGAAAATATAATTAAAGAGGTATAGCAAATTCCGTTGCAAAGACGTGGTGTGTTGGAAATAAGAAAGATAACTGTCTCCAGACGCTGATAATATCAGCGTTTTCTGTTTTTATTTCCAAATTAAGAAGACTGTTGAAAATTTATTTTTAAATGATTTAATACACCTTAAAGAAGCGGTTAATTGTTTTGTTTAGAAAAAGGCATCATCTGAAAGAATATAATAGTGTTACGTGCATGATGAAGGAGTGAAGGCGCCAGACGAAGTTAGTCAATAATTGTTATAATTAATGAATTCCAATGAGGCCGATGAAAGCAATTTTGCTTTATACTTTCCATTCGCAAACCGTTTTAATCAATGAATATAATATACCTATATTTATGACAAAGTATTGGTTAATAGACCTCATTTATTTGAATGAATGTGGTAGTATTTATTGAGAAATCCTGACAAAGAGCATAACTGTCAAACATTTTTTTTGTTTTTTGTTTATTGTAGCAGTGGTACTCGTGACATATTCTCAAAAAACCAACACGGATTAGTCTTTACTACAGATAAGGCAAAAAAGAGTAATTGAGGAAAAAAGAAATTTAATAATGAACATAAAAATGTTATTTTTATATACATTTGTTGTAACACATAACTTTACCTACTCGCAACCCGTCTTTGATGAACAATAATTAATTACTATGTACATAAAATAATATCGATATATAATGAGGCTTTGTTACAGTTAATTAATA